CGCTTAAGGACTGCATGATTTAAGGATTTCCTCTGAAATCCTATATCAAGTTCTCACATAATGATATATAAGAAATATGGTTACGGTCAACCAGTGCATTACATTGCTGCTGTTGAGATAAAACGCCGAAATAGTAAAGTATATAAAACTGAGAAATTTTTTTTTTTTTTATTCCACTTTTTTTGTTGTACAGCAAATCATACATGTCATACATAATATGTCATTTAACATATGCTTCATTGAAAACAAACTGTTTATGGCAGCACGAGCATTTTCATCTATCGAGAAGCCGTTTCATCAAAGGACTAATTGGATAAAATGGTTCAAACAACCTGCTTATGGTAACTGGACCAATGCTATACATCGAGAAACAAAGTTTCAGCAAGAAGAGTAATTAAATAGAGTGGTTCAAACATACCACTTATGGCGGCTGAACCAATGTCATACATCGATAACAAAGTTTCGTTGAAAAGGGTAATTGAATAAATTGGTATAACCAATGTCATACATCGATACACAAAGATTCATTGAAAAGGGTAATTAAATGGAGTAGTTAAGGAACATACTACGTATGGCAACTAGACCATACATCGAGAAACCAGGTTTCATCGAAAAGGGTAATTGAATAGAGTGGTTAAGAAACAAACTGCTTTATGGCAACTGGACCGTACATCAATAAACAAGTTTCATTGATAGTAGTAATTGAATAAAGTTGTTCAAAACATACCACTTATAGCAGATGGACTAATGTCATACAACCATAAACAAAGTTTCATCGAAAAAGGTAATTGAATAAAGTGGTTCAAACAACCAAGTTATGGCAACTGGATCAATATTGTGCATCGATAGAACGAAGTTTCATCGAAAAGAGTAGTTGAATATATTGGTCAAACAAACAACTTATGGCAACTGGTCCAAAATTTAACAAATTTGTTGTAATCACAGTTAGAGTAAGCTATGGCTTTTGTTATGTTATAGTAATTTGTCAACTCCCTCTGGATCGAAGCAAAGGAAAGTTTTCCTCGTTGAACATAAACTTTGAAAATTGTGTTTTTTCTTACGAGACAGATTACGTTTAAAGGGTCATTTCTTTTAGAAGGAAAGCCCAACAAAATTGTTTCTTTAGTAAACTGTACATTAATTTCCGCCTTACTGTTTACCCAGTTTTGGACTTCAATCCAGATTGAGTTGACAATTTCACAATTCCATAAAACATGACTGATATCTGCTATGAACTTGTGACAAGTTGTACAGATAGGAGAGTTTTGGTATCCAATCTTAAACAAATATTTTCCAACTGGAAGAATTCGGTTAATAATTTTATATTGAAACCACCGTAATTGAACACTATCAGTTGATCGAAATGGAATTTCTGAAATAAAACTGAGAATGATGTCACCAGGTGTTCGCGAAACGGCAACCCTCCTGTTACTGCCGGTATCGTGCAATGGGCTTGCTTTGTAAGGTGGAAATGGGTTTATTAATTTGTTTATCTCTACAAAATGCTGGCCGTTCCACAACGCAGCCATAATATGACATCTTTCAAGAACGGAAATTGATTTAATTGGGTGTTGTCCATTCCCCATATGGGCACAATGTGTGGTGTCCTCCGCCGTGACATTGTTGGAATATTGCTGAAAGCGGCGTAAGACTAAGGAAACTCACTCACTCACTCAAACCGTCTGGACAGATCGTTACCACATCGTACCACCAAACAATGTTTGCATATCTGCGTGATCATGGCAATTAGGAAAGCTATTGTGGACACCATTCGCCCGGTAGCTGATTGTACATCTGAGATATCCCTGCTGTGAGACCAAACACCAATTGTTTGAATTATAATAATGGGCTGGATAAATAGTGTCTCATCACGCAATGTCGGAGGCCCTGTCATTGTTTGTTGTGTGCATACGTTTTCAAACTTTTTTCACCTGATGATCAAGGCTGAGGGAATCTAGACTTGCTTCATTTAGGGCTTTAGCATTGCAGGAAGGTTAGACAAAAGGAAAAATAATGTGGTTCAGGGACTGTGAGACAGACTACCGTGTCGTTAATGTTCACCTTAGCACCGGTGTTGTCAGTGGACATCACTGCACCATACACGTCAATAACTTGCACTCGTATTTGTCTGAAAGTCAACATCCTGCCATGTCAAGAAAGGTAAATCTTTAGCACTGTCCTCTTTTAACTTAGCATAGAAAACTGTAGTACACATACTGCAGTTATGAAATTATATTAAACCCTCTAACAAGACATTAACGCTTTTCAATGAATGTCTACCTGAACGTTCAGACAGTATCACATTTGAAATCACACAAATTGTCAGTTTAAGCAGGGAGACTATATAACCGTTGTAGATTAGCCATGGTTTAAGGCAGGGAGAGGTTACATAAACCAGACCTGGGTCCCGATTCACAAAGCGTTCGTAAGGGTACGACCTAGCGTAACTCGATACTGTATCTTAGGTTTGTTGGGTAAAAGCTAGCATCAATGTATTTAAGAAATACAGTTTGCTCTTCCCCCATGTATAGTGCAATAAAGTATATCATAGTTTAAGTACGAGGACGCTTTAATTCAAAGAGGACAAATTCAAAACTTACCAACGATAAATTTGAGGTAGAAAACAAATAGAAAAACGACGGTGTTGGTGCCTAAACTAACAATTCTCGTTCAGAACTAACTGATGGGTTCTTCCAGTGACGTGTCTCTCCCCCTACGTTAAGACGCACGTTGAAACAAACGGGGAAACAGTTTGATGAGGGTTTACGTTCGGGTTAAATATCTTCTCTAACTTATTTCAATTGCATTTGTGATTAACGTAAACCATATGGGGCAATATGAACGTCGCTTTTCTCCTACCAACGTAAGTTTAGAACCCTAAATCCAGATGAAGCTGACTAGTCACGCGATATTCCACGGATGCATTGCGGGACTGTAAACACCGAGAAAGTTGCCGTGTCGATGATTAATTGTGAGTCGAGCGGAGACATTTTATTAGACAAAAAGCATAAACGTAATGTTTCCACCAATGATGTTAGCCGACTGAAGTAACTGGAAACCAAGAAACGGGATGCAACGGAGTAGTTTACTGTAGGAGATTGTACGAGGCGATGACAACTGACATGCATCGTGGCGTCGGTTACCAAGGGTACTTTTGATAACGAAGGGGCAGACGAGAATGGCAAGACTACAGTGTGACGTCATCCAAACGTGTACTTGATCGCCTCATAAAGTACTGTCGGCGCCTTTGATCATTGAGCGAAACATCTTAGAAAGGCCTATAATGTGACTACTAGGGTCCTAAGCACTGTATTAACGAGTCCTTTCTGTAATGCAGATACCCCAGTACTAACAATGTATACCCTGGTGCCTGCTTTTGCGTTGCAAGCCCTTGTGAACAGCGACACAACAACAACAACAACAACAACGACAACAACAACACATCAATAACAGCAACATCTACAACAAGAAACAAATATATAAATACAGTTATAAAACAGTTCAACAAATCAAACAGAATATAGCACGTTGTGGAGGATCGAACCCATCTTCAGAGTCACTAATGGCTCACCCACTAGGCTATCAACACCCTGGAAACTAGAAAAAGATAATATCTGACATTGCAAAAGGTCACGCTCATAGATCTAAAATGATGAAATCGTTAATCGATGCGCTTGTGTTATACACGGTTTATTGAGTAAAGACTCTTAAGATGTTCATCAGTCGATATGTCTAAACCATCACAAGTGTCAGGCCCCCAGAGGAGAACATTTCCGCTTCATCTGCACTGCTAAGGGAACAGTTCGGGGTATGTACTTGATGACTTTAAACATGCATGGTATTAGTTTACGTGTAAGGTGATTCATTAATGGCCCAGTGGGTGGGGTTCTCCTTTGCGCAAAAGGCTGGAGGCTGTACATATATATATGTAGATGGATAGATAGATTTGTGTAGATGGCTAAGCATAGCTAAGCTGGCTAAGGCGCCAGGCTAGTGATCCAGCGAGGTTGAGGTGTCGGGATCGAGCCCACCTGTGACCGGGTGTAAAAACCTTGGAGTCAACTTTGTGTGCAGACTCTTTCAGTGTTGTCACAACCCCTAGCGTACAGTACACAACCCTGTGCACTTAAAAGAACCCACGAATCCGTTGGTATTTGTCCAGATGGTGGCCACATGAATACGTGCAAACACCTAGTTGCGGGTACAGCAACGTGCAGTGAACATGGACAAAGTACTGTGACTATGTGTCCCAGTCCACCCAGATGTGAATGGGTACCTCGTTAGGATGAGAAGGACACAATAACTCGGTGCGCCTAGTGGCTGCAAGAGTTGTATGCTCCCCAGGGAGTTGAGATTGATAACGCGATGGGCCGTTGAGATTGACATCCAATGATTGAGTGAAAAAATACCAGCGCCTTGAGCAAGCACTAGTGCGTGGATATGTGCGCTATATATATATCCTATAATAATAATAATAGGTACATGTAGATGATAGATATATGTAGATGATAGGTATATGTAAATGATAGATATATGTAGATAGATAAATATATGTAGATGGAGAGATATATGTAGATGGATGGATATATATGAAGATGATAGATACATGTAGATAAATAGATAGATGTAGATAGATGGATATATGTAAATGATACATATTTGTAGATGATTGATATATGTATATAGATAGATATATCTACATATAGATGGTAGATTATGTAGATGGATAGATATATGTAGATGAATAGATGTTGGTAGATGAATCGATGTGCGGATCTCAAATGAAAAAGATGGATGTAGATATTAATTCTCTATCAAAAGTAAGACATTATCTGACAATACAATAAAATTGTATATGTAGATAGATAAATAAAATTGTATTGACGCAAGTAGATGCTTCGGCAGAACATTTCCTTTTTCAACATCATTGCGTGAGGCACGGCAACAGGTCGAAGCTGATCCGTGTACCTTGTCTCGTCGCCTCGTATAACGTATTCACGTTACCGTATATGACAATGTTCACGATGCCTCGTATGATGATGTCCACGTTTCTTCGTATGACGACGCTCATGTTTCCTCGTATGGCGATGTCCACATTTCTTCGTATGTTTTCTTCGCTCATGTTTCTTCGTATGGCGGTGTTCACTTTTCTTCACATGGCGGTGTTCACTTTTCCTCGTATGACGACGTTCACGTTTCCTTGTATGACGACGTTCACGTTTCTTCGTATGGCGATGCTCACGTTTCCTCGTATGACGACGTTCACGTTTCCTCGTATGACGACGTTGACGTTTCTTCGTATGGTGATGTTGACGTTTCTTCGTATGGCGGTGTTCACTTTTCTTCGTACGACGACGTTCACGTTTCTTCATATGTTTTCTTCGCTCATGTTTCTTCGTATGACGACGTTTATGTTTCTTCGTATGACGACGCTCATGTTTCCTCGTATGGCGATGTTGACGTTTCTTCGTATGTTTTCTTCGCTCATGTTTCTTTGTATGGCGATGTTCACGTTTCTTCGTATGACGACGTTCACGTTTCTTCATATGGTGATGTTGACGTTTTTTCGTATGGCGGTGTTCACTTTTCCTCGTATGATGACGTTCACGTTTCTTCGTATGGCGATGTTCACGTTTTCTCGTATGACGACGTTCACGTTTCTTCGTATGACGACGCTCATGTTTCCTCTGTATGGCGATGTTGACGTTTCTTCGTATGTTTTCTTCGCTCATGTTTCTTCGTATGGCGGTGTTCACGTTTTCTCGTATGACGACGTTCACGTTTCTTCGTATGACGACGCTTATGTTTCCTCGTATGGTGATGTTGACGTTTCTTCGTAGGGTGATGTTGACGTTTCTTCGTATGACGACGCTTACGTTTCCTCGTATGACGACGTTCACGTTTCTTCGTATGGTGATGTTGACGTTTCTTCGTATGGCGGTGTTCACTTTTCTTCGTATGACGACGTTGACGTTTCTTCGTATGACGACGCTCATGTTTCCTCGTATGGCGATGTTGACGTTTCTTCGTAGGGTGATGTTGACGTTTCTTCGTATGACGACGCTCACGTTTCCTCGTATGACGACGTTCACGTTTCTTCCTATGGTGATGTTGACGTTTCTTCGTATGGCGGTGTTCACTTTTCTTCGTATGACGACGTTGACGTTTCTTCGTATGGCGACGCTCATGTTTCCTCGTATGGCGATGTTGACGTTTCTCCGTATGTTTTCTTCGCTCATGTTTCTTCGTATGGCGATGTTGACGTTTCTTCGTATGACGACGTTCACGTTTCCTCGTATGACGACGTTGACGTTTCTTCCTATGGTGATGTTGACGTTTCTTCGTATGGCGGTGTTCACTTTTCTTCGTATGACGACGTTCACGTTTCTTCATATGTTTTCTTCGCTCATGTTTCTTCGTATGACGACGTTCACGTTTCTTCGTATGACGACGCTCATGTTTCCTCCGATGGCGATGTTGACGTTTCTTCGTATCTTCGTATGGACATAATGAACGGCTCGTTTCTTCGCGTGTTTGACGGCTCATGTGTATAGTCGTGAACCATCGTTGGCGATGTTGACGTTTTCTCGTATAATATGACGACGTTCACGTTTCTTCGTTTGACGACGCTCATGTTTCCTCCGATGGCGATGTTGACGTTTCTTCGTATGTTTTCTTCGCTCATGTTTCTTCGTATGGCGGTGTTAACTTTTCTTCGTATGGCGGTGTTCATGTTTCCTCGTATGACGACATTCACGTTTCCTCGTATGACGACGTTCACGTTTCCTCGTATGACGACGTTCACGTTTCTTCGTATGGCGATGTTCATGTTGCCACGTATGGCGATGTTCAGGTTGGTCGTATGGCGTTGTCACGTTGCCTTGCATAACTATTTCCACGCTGCCTTCTATGACGACGTTCACGTTGCCCCATTTTCAATTTACATACATTTTTCATCAAAAGTGCGAAAATCAAAGAATTCGAATTGCTAAGACAGATATTGGCTGCGCTGCAGGTACCAATGTTGGCACAGATGCGTCCAGACAATGGTTTCCTTAAACTTCCATGATCACTTATGGAAGTGTTGTAAATATACACGATATGGCACTGATGACTCACCACGTGTCCCATATATACAATACAGTGTTCTGAATAACGTGAGTGAGTGAGTTGGGTTTTACGCCGCTTTTAGTAATATTCCAGCAATGTCACGGTGGGGGACACTAGAACTGGGCTTCATACATTGTACCCATGTGGGGAATCGAACCCGGGCCTCGGATCGGCGTGACGAGCGAACGCTTCAACCACTAGGCTACCCCACCGCTCCTTCTGAATATCTATCTATCTAATCTTCATTATATCTATCATTTTATGGAAGAAATAAAGAATATCTATCTATCTATCTATCTATCTATCATTTTATGGAAGAAATAAAGAATATCTATCTATCTATCTATCATTTTATGGAAGAAATAAAAAAATCTATCTATCTATCATTTTATGGAAGAAATAAAGAATATCTATCTATCTATCTATCTATCTATCTATCTATCTATGTAAGGAATAAAGGAATCTATCTATCTATCTATCTATCTATCTATCTATCTATCTATCTATCTATCTATCTATCTATCTATCTATCTATCTATCTATCTATCTATCTATCTAACCATAAATGTAACATCGTTCACCAGCCAGAGTCTAAACACTAGTGAAACTCATTTAAACCTCTAAGACATCAGAATCTTTTGCATCATCTGCCAGATAACCCTACTGGAACCACCGGGACAATGCCTTGTACACAAGTCTATGGTCGCCATGGCTGCAACGCATGAGTGCGGATACGAACTCATTGAACACGCTCCATATCCACAAGATTATGCACCAGGAATTTTCCACGTCTTCCCTGACTTGGGGAGAGGTTGTCTGGCAAGCGTTATGTAAATAAAGATGACGTCATTTCTGCTACCAACACCAGGAGAAAGCCTTCAACACCAATGAAGTCCGTGTAGTTGAGTATCGCTGGCTATGTGGACATAATCCGACGGGATTATGCTGAAACATAATTAGCAATATTAGTAATAATTAACAACATTCACTCACACACCCGTTGCTATGGATGAGGTTAAGTGATTGACAGGTATTCGTATGTTATTTAATCTATACTATCCAAAAAAAGAAACGTTTAGGCGATTTGTATTTTTAACAACCTATTCATTACCTATTGTGTTCAAAGAATCGTCAAAATATGTAACAAAAGTGTTGATACCATGATTTTACACAATTGCACAAGTTAAAAATCGATTTTACCTGAAAATATTGATTTTGATGAGATTTCTTACAAGGATTAAAAAGGCATCGCCACAACGCAACATAAATCACCTTCCAGTTGAAATTGGGCAGCAAAGAGCATGCACTGTCTGGCAATAAAAATCCAGATTACTTTCGGAAATTGGCATTCGTTTTGAAGGAGTTTCAAGGTCAAATCACTATGCCACGTAATGAATCTGCGACACGGATCGTCGCCATTGAAAAATGCACGCTGGAGATTACCAATCTTCTGTTGCCAGGCGTCTGAATGTTAGTCTGAGCACGATATCACTGCTTGCAGCTCGTTACAACCAAACAGGTATAAAAAATGACCATCCCCGTACAGGCAGACCTCGAGTCAACACTGCAGCCCAAGATCGGTACATCCGGGTACTACATTTGCGTGATCGTACTGCCACGGGTGAGAGCACAGCAGATAGGGTACCTGGTCTTCGGGGGATATCCGGTCAAACTGTACGGAACAGGTTGAAAGAGGTTGGTCTGAGAGCCAGGAGACCCGACGTCGGGACCGTGCTACGTCGTCACTATCGCGCTCAACGTCTCCGTTATCTAAAAGTATCTACTTGGTTGTATAGACATTACCTTCTTCTTAAGTGGTGTAAAAATCATGCACTGAAGTCTATTTGTGTGCGAGTTCTACATGATTGAAAATACAACATTTTCGCAACAGATTTCTGGTCTATGCGTTTCTTTTTTTGGATAGTATATAATATAAAAAATTTACTTGAAAATACCAGAGTACAACGAGCTTCGGCTATCCGTGGAAACAGATTCCACTGTAGTAGAACACAAAGCGGTACACATTATATAATCATCGGTTCCTAGCACCGACGCTACAGCGTTGATCAATAATCCACAGATATTTTTTTCCATTTCTTGAATCCATTTGTATTTGAACCTACGGTGGATATTGACTGACTGACTGACTGAGTTTGGTTTGACGCCGCTTTTAGCAATATTCCAGCAACATCGCGGCGGGGGACACCAGAAATGGGCTTCACACATTGTACCCATGTGGGGATTCGAACCCGGGTCTTCGGCGTGACGAGCCAACGCTTTAACCACTAGGCTACCCCACCGCCCCGGATATTGACCATTGTTTCACCGAAGAAGGGGGATTAGTGTCACCATTGATTTTCGGTGTTCCATTCAGCCAGTTTGCCCTTCACTCCAAATGAAATCAGTTCTGGTTGATAATCTGGACTGAATTATTCTCCTGCATATTCACTGTACCCGTGACCTTCACCTGCCGGATTGTATTCACGTGTTATGTGTCTATTGTGATAGCACAAAACACGAAGAGACTGTAGCTATTGAACTCTTTTCTCTGTGGTTAACTGGATACAGGGCCAACTTCGATTTCATCTGAATTAAATATGATATTGATCTTTTGTTATTGACCGTGTACGTTCATGCTTCATATCTCTTTTGTAACACGATAGGACACAATTCCCAGTCAATGTGTAGGGAGCAAGCTGGAGACATTGAAAGACATTTAGAGAAAGATTTGCATCGTTTCACGATAGGACGTGCTGCTTTGAGAGTCTTGTTTGGTTTGCTATTTGGTCTGGGTACCACAAAGGGCCATGACGTCACAGAAGGGTATCCGTGTTCACAAAGGTAAATTTCACTGTTTTCTCTTGTTTGTCTCTCATGTCGTTAACAAAACAATAAGGGGACATTTAAGCTCATGACTTTTCGACCAATCTGTTTTCGAGAGATTTGTCACAATTCAACACAAATGGGGTGTTAGTGATACGAACCGTGATCTCACGTGCTAGTTTTTAATCCGCCTTAACCTTCAGACAGACATACAGACAGACAGACAGACAGGCAGGCAGACAGACAGACAGACAGAAAGACAATCAGTTCATACCATGGCTCTAAAGACAAGTTAGCCTGCATCAGCATCTTACAATATTTTTATCTCTCACAGACAAAAATACCTTATTAATTACTTATTTCCTTATTTTCCCAACACTGTATAAAACAACTGAATAAAATCAAGTTTATACCACGAGTAAGTACAAAAGACTTTATTGACTTGTCATAGCGTAATGTTCAGTAGCTTCCCTAGACTAAGATATAGTTTTTACCAGATTTTAACGAAAACAGATTTTTAAATTATAATAACTTTCTTCATGTTCAGTAACTGTGATAATCTTGGACTTGCCATAACTTTCTTCATGTTCAGTAACTGTGATAATCTTGACTTGTCACATATTCTAATGTGCATGGAGCTTGACTTGCCACATATTCTAGAGCATGGAGCCTAGACACTTTCTTCATGTTCAGTAACTGTGATAATCTAGACTTGCCACATATTCTAGATGTGCATGGACTTTCTTCATGTTCAGTAACTGTGATAATCTAGACTTGCCACATATTCTAGATGTGCATGGACTTTCTTCATGTTCAGTAACTGTGATAATCTAGACTTGCCACATATTCTAGATGTGCATGGACTTTCTTCATGTTCAGTAACTGTGATAATCTAGACTTGCCACATATTCTAGATGTGCATGGACTTTCTTCATGTTCAGTAACTGTGATAATCTAGACTTGCCACATATTCTAGATGTGCATGGACTTTCTTCATGTTCAGTAACTGTGATAATCTAGACTTGCCACATATTCTAGATGTGCATGGACTTTCTTCATGTAACTCAGTAACTGTGATAATCTAGACTTGCCACATATTCTAGATGTGCATGGACTTTCTTCATGTACAGTAACTGTGATAATCTTGACTTGCCACATATTCTAGATGTGCATGGACTTTCTTCATGTTCAGTAACTGTGATAATCTTGACTTGCCACATATTCTAGATGTGCATGGACTTTCTTCATGTTCAGTAACTGTGATAATCTAGACTTGCCACATATTCTAGATGACTTTGCATGGACT